CCTATCCCTCGTTCCAGTGCCAGAAACCTCCGGTCATCGCAACTCAACTCCGGCTAGTCATCGCAAGCCGACATCCGGACCGGCCAAGCCAAACAGAGCCGAGCTTTAGTAACTGGCTCAATCTGCAGCATTACCAATATCATTATCGGGAAGTGGATTGAAAAGAAGTGGGTTAGTTATATTATGCGTTGTCGCGTAGCTCTTTTACAGGTACATGTTAGTTCGAGACATTGCAATTACAAGGGATTTGGTTTCAAAAATCGTAAGAACAACGAGATACGTAGTGAATTGAGGTGATAATCGGCGTGAGAAATTAGTGTATTTCTCTCTACATGTCCACTCAGTGCGGCAAAACGTGAAGAAATCTGCGTGAGAAACGTGTCCAACTCGCCGTTCGACGAGTGGCATGCCAAATATCATCATTGCGACCATGTGAGAAAGTAAAATCCGACGGGCAATGTATGTTGCTCACCTTGTCGACAGCTGACAGACATTGCGGATTAGTGAGTGAAATCAGCGAGAAAGGCCGGCCTCGTAAGAGATGTGACGCACATACACAGAACAGGTATTGGGTACTAACTGGAGATATGCAGCCCTGAATCAGGGGGCGTGGCTTAATTGTGCTCGTCGTGTGTAAGCATTCTAGTGACGTCATACTGACGAGGTCCTGTCGCAGTGTTGAGTTGTGGCGTATATGACTTAATGGACCGAAACGTTTTGTCTAGCTCTGGCCTTTTGTGCTTGATTCACCTTCTTCCTCGTCTAGTCTCTGCTTTTTAATGTATTCAGGCCTAACCTGGCTGCTACGTAGGATCTGGCATAGCTGCGCTTGGCGTGTGAAAACATCCTAGTAACATCAATAACAGGGGAAATCCCCTACGATTCTTGGTAATTGGCGCTGTGTATTTGTTTTATATTGTTTCTTTGTACTGCGTATATTCTGCGTCATTTTTGATCGTCCTGTATCGTTCCTATTGTTTTGCAGGCGGATGTCACGCTGGCTACGTTTCGCGTTACGTGTAAGGGCTATGCGTTATACTGCAGCAGCAACAACTACAGTAGCAGCAACAGGTATTGCACTGCAGGCGGGATATACACGTTGGCAGAGTGGACGTGTGGGTCTGGTTCCGGAGGAGGATATCGTTGTGAGCCGACGACAGGATATTGCACCAGATCGTGAGTTCACAAAACGGGAGCAGCGATTCCTGGATTTTGCATCGGTGGAATACGACGACGTCATTTATATGACACCCAATGATTTCCTCGATTCGCTGGTACTTGATATGCCAAGAGGTGAGCCCATTCATCGATAATTCTTAATTCCTATTTTCACTTCACCTCCTCTATTTCCCAATTTCAAGATTATTACCACTTTTTAACTATTTCCATTTCAATTACTTTTCATTCTTAACAAAAAATATATTGTTACCACAGTCGTCGTACTGACGAGGTCCAACTGTAGTAATGGTAAGAAATGTATACGACTTAATGGACCGAAACATTTTTTACCTACTTTATTCTATCTTTCCTTTTTATTCTTTTGAGCTTTTCCATCATTCACTTTTACATTTCCCAATTAAATTTTCACTTAACCTTAAATTCGGTGCGCTTGATAGGTTGACGATCCCCACGGGTATTGTCACATAATATTTCACACAATGATTTATGGCTTTTTGTTGAAAATTGCATAGGGAGCAATTGTATCACTATGTTGTAATACTCCTGGTCTTCATGCACACACATGCACACACACACACACACGCACGCACACACGCATACACACACACACACGCACACACACACACACACGCACGCACACACGCATACACACACACACGCACACACATACAACCTACAGGGCACGCACACTTGTCTAACCCACAAACTTTTAAGATCGCTATAATACTACTTGGCTCGCCTAGGCAAGTAATGTTTTGTTGGTACTCAAGCTGCCAATTTATCGTTCCTTTGTTCAATTTCTCTTTATTACTAAAATTTATTAGTTACCATAAATTAAACTATAATCTTATTTTTTGGAAGAAAGCCAGTTTCTTGGTACTCAATATGTCCACGGAGATTAGCTTAATGTGTTCAACAGGTAAACGATTCATCGATACTTGGTGTATCCGGGGAAGTTAGCTTTTTACTGGTACTCACTGCTCCTACTGGATAAGCTTTCAGTGGTGGAAGCCGCATTTATCGCAATAGCTTGAACTGGGCAAAAGTCTTAACAAGGTTTCCTTAGATAAACTTGCGCGGAAGGATCGTTAACGAAATTTGATCAGAATTTGCCAAACACAAATCAGCACATCATTATTAGTGTGCTAAAGCAGAAATAATAAAAGCAACAACAAAGCAATAGCATTCACATCGAAATTGGTAGTTGTTATGTCAGGATAGGAACTTCGTTAAAAATGCATGTCTGACATGTAAGCGATTCATTGGTGCTCTATTAGAGCCAGAAGAACCAATAATTTACTGTGACCGTCATACTGACAAGATCCCTGACACGGTGTTGAGCTAAGGCGTATTTGACTTCATGAACCGAAACGTCTTATCTCTCTTTTATCTCCTCTCATACTGTAATCTATCGGGCATTCGCCATTACTGGTTTCGCCACGGACGAATGGCACCATCGAGTTTTGGCTTAAAAGTAGCGCTGCTTATCAGTGCACCAAGCATTCCGAAGTACTCCTTTCGTTCAGCTCGATGTGTATTTACATTGCAGAACGTGTCTATCGTCGAGTTCTGTCAACTCAAACGGTTAACAAAATGCTGTCGCGCTCTCCATCGTTCCGCAAAACGAATCGTTCAATGTTCCGGGAGCTTGGGGAGCATGGCATCATCTCCTATGCCGATTACTTATTCTTAATCGCCATTCTTACAAGTCAGTTTTGTGACGTACGAAAAATATGAAAATTTTTGGGGGAAAATCGTCAACTGGTGAACCAGGAAAACTGGGCGGTTGAAATTTTGAGGGGATGTTCCAGCCCACGTACCAAAACCACGCAGACGACCACTGTGAGAGTTCTGTAGAAGATCTTTTATAGTAGAATTTCTGACACACATATATGATCAAGAAGTTTGTGAATTAAATCAACACACGTGAAGTTGCGCAGCTGGTAAATATAAATCAGTCAGTGTGAGCAAAAAATCCTTCGTATTCGCTGTTTCTGACAGGCTTTTGTTTTCGCTCTTTCGTGAGTATTTTGAGGATAGCAAGTGTCAGTAGCACCCACAAAATTTAAATTTAGTTATAAATGTAAGTATAGATGTAAATAAAAAAAATATCATCAAAACCCCTCCGTATTTGTTCCTTATGCCAGTGGAGGTGCTCGTTAGATAGCTGAAATAACGGTGTATGCCAAAAGCAACCACACGCTGGATAAGCTGTTATTGGCTGCCTCTTCTGAGGGTTGCTTAAAGGCATGCTTGTGGCATAGACTCAAAATTCAAAAGTAAGAACTAAAAGGGAAAATGAGAATTAGTGGAGAAATAAGAATTAGCAGCACTATGTCTTGTGGCTATTGTGGAAAAGCAAGTTGGCTGTGATCCAGATTTGCATCAAGCAGTGAAACTTAAAAAATTCTGTTGGTGAAATCGGGCCATGGAAAATTGATCCAGTTCTTGCTGTTTTATGTTTCCTTCCACTTTTTTAGAATCACAACGCGCTTTCCGGATTGCTTTTGCCTTATTCGATCGTGATGACAATAAGAGAATCGAAAAGGATGAATTTCTCCTGGTACTGCTTTTTATTGTTCAAATATTCCGAAATAAATCAGGCGAAATGAACATGAGGATCGTCATCCCGTTGGCCGCCATGTGAAGCAGCTTTGAACAAAGCAACTGGAAAAACTGCCAACTACTAAAATCCCGGACTTTCAGTTACAGCTGTTCAAATTATTCGTAAAAGAAATAAGTGTTTTTCTGTGTTTCCGTTAATTCTCTGTTTACTTTGTTACCAAAAAATTTCTTACCTAAAAAATTTATCAAAAGTTTAATATCAAAAATTTTTACGGAAAAATTTTTTACTCGAAAAATTTTTTACCAGAAAATCAAAAAAAGACTTGAAAAGGTTTTTTTTTTTTCATTTTTAAATCCACATGTTGTTAACTCGCAATAGATCATGATGAAAAAATGACTTAGGTTTTCCTTTCAGATCCGTGCGCTAATGTCAATTCCGAGATCGATTCGAACTCTGGAAGAAAATGTTAGTTGTTCACCCCTGCTACAAAATGGAACTGGTAGCAAAATTATGGTGGATCTATGAGCGATGATATTTCAGCGTGAAAGTTGCTCGATAAATACACCGGATTTGCAATATCTGATGGAAAGGCTTGGCTTACGAACAACGGCCAAAAGTGATCTTGCTTACGAAGTACGTAAAATTCGTTTTTACAAAACAAATTATATTCAAAATTTTAGTATCCATTTCTACTCCATTCGATGATATTCAATGATTATTTTTGATTTTTATGCGTTTTTTGCAGCAATGCAATGCAAACCCAGGCTGAAACGCACCGGACAGGCCCGTGCGATCATGCGTTTTTGCACCGGACTTGAATTACTCAGGTCTGTATGAATGGCTGTTGCTGTATGAATGGCTGTTGCTTTACACCTGCCTTTTGCGGTCACCAGCATAAATCACCATAAATTTT